AATTAGAATTCAACAAAAAATAAAAACATAAAAACGGACGAGAACTAGAATCAAAATGTAGTCTAGAATAAGAACCAAAATCAGAACGAGAATTACAATGAGAATGAAAACGAAAATGGTCGAATATCGAGAACAAAAAGAAGAAGGATCAGAAGTACAACACGAACGAAAATGAGAACGCAAAGAAGAATCAAAATTAGAGTAATAAGGAAAACGAGTGAGAATGAAATATTGACGAAAAAAGAGGAGACAGTCAGAGACGCGAAAGTGTAAACGGAAATTAGAATAAATGAAAATGTGAAGAAGAATAGAATGAGAATGACCCCGGTAGCGTGAGAATGTGCACGAGGAGGGAGAACGGAAATAAGAACAAGATTATAAATAAAATAAGAATCAAAATTAGAACAAGAATGAGAATGACCAGGAATATTTGAGAACAAGAACAAAAACGAGAATATGGAAGATAAAGACACATCAGTAAGAATGGAATGAGAACGAAGAGAATAACCAAAATTAGAGTACTACTAATGAAATATGAACGAGAAAACGACGAAAATGGAAGGAAAATAGAATAAAAACTGGAATTACAATAAATGAAAATGTGAAGGAGAATGGGAATAAGATCGAATATAAATAAAATAAGAACCAAAATTAGAACAAGAATGACAAGATTGTCAAGAAGAAGACTGAGAATATGCAGGAAAACACGATCTAAAATGAGAAAATAAATGAGAACGAGACTGAACATATAGATGCGAATAGAAGAAAATGAAAATCAAAATTAGAATTTCTATGAGACAACTACAAAAAAAGAAAGTGAGAACGCGAATTATAACGAAAGTAGAATGATTAAAGGGAATAGAAATGAAGATTTAAAGGAGAATATATAGAAAAAAAGAACCAATATTAAAACTAATGTGAAAAAATTATTCTAGAATAAGAAAAAGAAAGTAAGAATGAAAGAAAAATGATAACCAAAACCAGAACAAGGACAACAGTGAAAATGAAAACGAAAATGGTTGAATATCGAGAAAAAGAATGAAAACGAGATAATGTAAGATAAAAAAGTATATATCAAGAAGAATGAAATGAGGACTAGAATTAGGACTAAAACAAGAACAGAAAAAAGAATTGTCAAGAAGAAGAATGAGAACGAGCAGGAAAACACGATCTAGAATGAGAAAATAAATGAGAACGAGAACTAACAAATGGATGAGCATAAAGGGAAAATGAAAATCAGAACTGTATTTACTATGAGATGAGTATAAAAAAGAGAGTAGGAACTTGACTTGAATTAGAACGAAAGAAGAATGATTAAGGAGACTAGAAACGAGAATGAGAACAAGAATATATAGGAAATAAGAATCAATATTAGAACTGAAGTTAAATGGATTTTGTAGAAAAAGGATCAAGAAAAAAGATAATTAAGCCAAAAATGATAAGGTAAATACGAACGAAAATTAAGATGAACATGTACTCTAGAATAAGGACAAGAATGAAAGAAAAATGAAAACCAAAATCAAAACGAGAACTACAACGAGAATAAATACACGAAAATGGGCGAATATCGAGAACAAGAATAAAAAGGAATATAGAAGAGAAAAAAATATATTTTACAAAAATGGAATGAGAGTGAGAACCAGAATTAAAACAGGATAAGTAAGTTCATGACGAACTGGAATTAGAACAAGAACAAAAAAAAGAGAGAGAGAGTTAAAATGAACGAGGATCAGAAGTAGAATACGAACGCAGTTGAGGAAACAATTGAGAACAAAATGAAGAACTAAAATTAGAGTGACAACGAAAACGAGTGAGAATGAAATATGGACAAGAAGAAGACAATGCAGAAAACATCTGTCTGTTCTCGTTCTCGTTCTCATTTATTTTCTCATGCTAGATCGTGTTCCCCTACTCATTCTTATTCTTGGTCTTCTAATTTTGGTTCTTATTTTATTTAAATTATTCTTATTTCCTTTCTCCCTCTTCGTAAACATCCTCACTCTGTAGTTGTCGTTCTCATTCTATTCTTCTTCACATTTTTATTTATTCTAGTCCCCGTTTACACCCTCGATCCTCTGACTGTAATTCCAATTTGAATACTGAAGGAAAATGAAAATGAGAACTAGAATTACAATAAGAGAAGAATAAAAAAGAGAGTGAGAACGTGAATTATATCGAAAGTAGAATGATTAAGGAAACTAGAAACGAGAATGAGAAAAAATTGATACGAAAACGAGAATATATAAAACTAAAGAGCAAAGGATTTTGCAGAACAAGGATTTGAAAGAGAATGAGAATTAAGCCAAGAATGAGAACGTAAACACGAACCAGAATCAGTATCAAAATATATTCTGGAATACGAACAAGACTGAAAGAAAAATGAGAACCAAAATCAAAACGAGAACTACAATGAGAATGGTTAGAGAAAATGAGCGAGAATGGAGAACAAAGATAAAAGCAAGTATATGGAAGAAAAAAAATATGTATTAACAAGAATGGAATAAAAATGAGAATGCAAATTAAAACAAGAACGAAAAAAAATGAGAGTGAAGGTGAACTAGAATCAGAAGTAGAATACGTACGTAAATGAGAAAACATTTGAGAATGAAAAGAAGAACCAAAACTAGAGTGACAACGAAAACCAGTGAGAATGAAATATGGACGAGAAGAAAACGGCAATCGAAAGAAAATTAACTAGAATTGCAGTCAGAGAATCAAGGGTGTAAACGGATATTAGAATGAATAAAAATGTGAAGAAGAATACAATGAGAATGGCAACTATAGAGTGAAAATGTGAACGGGGAGGAACAATGAAAATAAGGACAAGAATATAAATAAAATAAAAACCAAAATTGGAACACAAATAAGAAGAATTGCCGAGAAAAAGAATGAGAATGAAAAACAAATGAGAACGAGAACGAACAAATGGATAAGAACAGCAAGAAATTCAAAATCAGAACTAGAATTACTACTAAAGAACTATAAAAAAAGAGTGAAAACTTGAATTAGAACGAAAAGAGAATGATTAAAGAGTATAGTAACGAGAATGAGAAAACAACAAAAATGAAAACCAGAATAGATAAAAAATAAGAACCAATAGAATAGAATAAGAATTAAGCCAAAAAATCAGAACGTAAATACGAACAAGAATTAAAATCAAAATGTATTGTAAAACAAGAATGACAATGATAGAAAAATGAGAATCAAAATGAAATCGAAAACTATAATGCACGAATATCGAGAACAAGAATATAGATGAGAATATGGAAGAGAAGGAAATATATATATCAACAAGAATGTAATGAGAATGAGAACCACAGTTAAAAGCAAAACAAGGAAGTTCATGACGAAAGAACGAAAAAAGAATGAGAGTGAAGATGAACTGGGATCAGAAGTTGAGTAGGAACGAAAATGAAAAAACAATTGAGAAAAGAAGATTCAAAATTAGAGTGACAATGAAAACTAATGAGAATGAAATATGGACGGGAAAAAGAGAAACGAGAATGGAAGGAGAGAATCTAAATTAGAATTACAGTCAGAAAATCGAGGCTGTAAACGGGAATTACAATAAATGAAAGTGTGAAGAAGAATAGAATGAGAATAACAACTAGAGAGTGAGAATGTGCACAAGGGGGGGGAATGGAAATTAGAACCAAAACTGGAACAAGAATGAGCAGATTGTCAAGAAGAAGAATGAGATTTAGCAGAAAAACACGCTCTAGAATGAGAAAATAAATGAAAACTATAAAAAAGAGAGTGAGAGCGTCAATTGGAACAAAAGTTGAATGATTAAGAAGAATAGAAACGAGAATGAGGAAAGAAAACGAAAATATTAGAAAATAAGAACCAATGTCAGAATTAAAATGAGAAGGATTTGTAGAACAAAGAATAAAAAGGAATAATTTCCACGAGAGGCCAGAATGGAATTAAGAACGACAACACAAATAAAATAAGGTCCAAAATTAGAACTAGAGTGTTAAAACTGTATAGAATTAGAATAAGAATGAACAGCAAAACACGATCTAGAATGAGAAAATAAATGATAACGAGAACGTGGCGAAAATTAGAATGCCGACGAAAACGAGAACGAACATATGGAACATAGAAGGAAAATGAAAATTAAAATTAGAATTACCCTATTAGAATTATAAAAAAGAGAGTGTGAACGTGAACTAGATGGAAAGTACAACGATTAAAGAGAATAGCAACGACAATGAGAATAAGAACGGGAATATTAATAAAGCCAATATCACAATTAGAATTAGGATGAAAAGTTTGTGGAGAATAAGAAAATTAGGAAATTAGAACGAAAACAGGAACGTAGAGACGAATATGGATAATGAAGAACGAGAACGTGCATGAGGTTTAGGACGGGAGTAAGAAGAATATATCAAAATAAAACTCAAAAGAAGAACTAGTCTAAGAAGGACTGTAAAGAACGGAATGGGAACGAACACATGAATAAGAAGAACAAAAGAATAGAGGAGGCAACAAAATGGGGAATCATTGGAATTAGAGATTTCAAATAGAAGAATTTTAATTTATAAGTGGACCTAACGAAATAAGTCAATCAATGTTTCTGTCACAAGCCGCTCAAGTATTATGTGTTGCCTACATATTTAAAAATGTAAATGTTATAAATATGTACTTATGCATTTATTTTTAAAGGTTACATTAATTTCCAATTAATAATTGACTCATTTACTGATACATCATTACAGAGTAATATTATAATCATGCTTTCCTATTTTTGTATTCAGTTAATTTTTTTTGTATAGCAGCGCCATCTCAATACCAGTAGTCAAAGTTTTCGCTTTCGTAATTATTCGAAAGTTTTAAAGCGAAAGTAATGCAAAACAAAACCTATTTTCGCTTAAACACACTTTATCGTTATTAATACCAATTTTCCATTTAACAATTCTCAGAGCCAAACATGACTATAATTTGCACCAATTCCCGCCACCAACACCTTCCCATCAGTCCCTCCAGATGCCGCCCCACACAAATGTCAACCAAATGTCAAAATAATCAACAAAAATATCCGCAGAAATGAATTTAAAAACCTAATTCTTCACTTCCTCCACGAAAAAAACCCAAATCACGCCTCTCGCAAGAAACTCGGCACCTCGACCACCACTCCAGGTAAGACTCGCCCATTTCCACGCCGTCCATCCCGTGCCTGCCACCGGCTCGTAAAATTAGGTTAACAGGTTAATCAATAATTTACATGGGACTATCCCACTCGGAATAAATTTTAACAAACATCCCCTAAATAAATTAACGCACCCAAAATCAATGTAGGCCCACGGGCTGCACCCATTTCGAGCCCACGTAACCCCAGAACCGTTTTTTTCCAGCAATGGTGCGAGTTATCTCGGTGCACCATTTCTCCAGCCAGCACATACAGACAGTCGAACAGCCCACGGCATGCACGGTGGCACCCCCAGATAAGCTGCTGCTGGCCCTAACGAGTAACTGCATTGAAGTGAGGGACTTGAAGAATGAGTCGGATGTGCTGTTCACGTTCCCTTCGGTGGACGAAGTTATCCAGATTGTGCATTGTCGAAATGGTGCGTATTGGGGGGCTCCTAATTTATATAAATCTGATTTTGTTGATCAATAATTGTCAGAAGTTGTTATTGGGTTAAGTAAATTTGTTTTTTTGCAACGCTAAAGTATTTGGTGGTGTGGAATTGAGCATTTGTTGTAATAATTATAACTGTCCCAATGGTCTAATAATGGAAAATTACGCTTTTATTGATGCAGATACAACAATTTTCACGATATTTGCATTTTTTGGAGAAAGAAAAAACCAGTAAAATTTTTTCCACCATTTTTAAACATGGCGGTTTCAATGTGCTTTTGATAGAACACCCTGTATTTATACATTTTTGAAGTTGTATTTTCGGGTTCATCCTAACAAGAATTTCAGTATAATTTACTTATACAAAAGCTCATACAGGAGGTCCCATTTAAGAACATGAGAAAATTGAGTTTTTTAATATTTAAATTTTTTACAAAAAAAAGAAATACATATGATATTAGATACAACCATTTTTTGGTACCATAAGTAAAGATTCAGGGTTCTACCATTTTTAAAGATGGAGATTTCGATTTTTTAGGTAGGACACCCTGTATTTATGAATTTTTGAATTTATTTTGGAGTTTATCTTAATCTTTATTAAATTTAATCACCCTGTATAAATAAGTCATAGTACTCCTCGTTTTCTTATGTGTTTGTTGAGACCAAGTAGCTTGTTTGATACAAAATTTTTCAACTTTTCAATTCCTCGATTTTTATAAATGCGTTAATTTTTCGTTTTTTAATTGATCGTTTCGTCAATTTTTCGAGTTCTTGATTTCCAATTTATAGATTTTTCAAAGTTTTCGTATTGTATTTATCAATTTTACAATTTTGAAATTTTTTATTCGAAAAACTGAAAAGTCAAAAAACAAAAAAAAAATGAAAACAATTACAAAATCGAAAAAGTGAAACATCGAAAAATTGCAAATCGAAGAACTGAAGAAAAAATAGGAAAACCCAAAAATCGTAAAATCGAAAAATTATAGAAACGTCAAAATCAAAATTGTAAACTCGGAAAACTGTGACATTGAAAGAGTGAAAAATTTGAGAAAATTATTATTATTATTACCTATTTAAAATGAACACTAGAAAACTAGCAAATCAAAAATTGAAGAAATTGAAAAATTAAGAAACTGAAAAATCTAAATTGAAAAAACGAAAAATTAAAAAATGTGAAAGTTGTAAATTCGGAAAATTATAAAATCATAACACTGAAAAAACGAAGAAAATAAAAAGCGAAAAATTTGAAAATGAAAACTCAAAAAGTTGTAAAATTGGAAAACAAAAAAAAAATTGAAAAATTGCTATTCGAAAATTTGAAGAAACGTAGGATTGAAAAAATTTAAACTGAAAAATTGAAGAAACAAAAAAAGATGAAAAATTGGAAAATTGCAAATCGAAATATTTAAGAAACGAAAAACTGAAAAAAAAATTATTGAAACAAAAAATAATTGAGAAAACAAAGAAAATAAAAAACCGAAACGAAAAATTGCACAAAACATTTAAAAGTTGGAAAATTGAAAATTCGAAAAATTGCAAACCGAAAACAAAAAAAGAAAAAATAGAACAACAGAAAAATTCAAGGTAAAAAAGCTGTTAATAAAGTAAGTAATTTTTCCTTTTATATTTATACATATTGTAAAATTGAAAAAACAAAAAATTACACAATCAGAACTTTGGAAATCGACAAATTGTAAAAATAAAGAAAAAACCAAAGCAAAAAATTGGAAATTGACAATTCGAGAAATTTTAAATCGAAAAATTGCAAAATGTGAAAATTGAAACAAAAAAAAACGCAATTCAAAAAATTGAAGAAACAAAAAATTAAAAAAATTAAAATTGCTAAAACAAAAAATTATAAATTGAAACATCTACTCGAATAGTTCAAAAATAAAAAAAAAACTGAAATGAAAAATTGCAAATCGGAAAATTGAAAAATTAAAAATTGGAAACTCGAAAAACTAATGGAAAAATTGGAAATTCCAAAAATTGCGAAATTGAAAAATCATGGAATGGTCAAAATCGTAAAGTAAAAAAACATTTAAAGATCCAAAATTGAAAAATTGAAATATCGCGTAAATGAAAATGATTTAAAATCCATTAATTGAAAAATGGAAACATTCTAAAATCGTAAAAAATTGAAAAATTCTTTAAATTAAAATTATTATTAGAAACTGAAAATTCTATATTGAAAAAACGAAAATTCAAAAATCTACAAAAATTGAAAATTGGTTAACTCGAGAAACTCAAATCGAAAAATTGGAAAAACCAAAAATTGAGAAATCAAAAAAAAATGTATTTGTCGAAAATGTAAACTCAAAACACGTTAAAAAATCCAAAATTGAAAAATTAAAGAGCGAAAAATTGAAATATCGTATAAATGAAAATGATTTAAAATCCATTAGTTGAAAAATGGAATTATTCTAAAATGACAAAATTGAAAAATTGAAAAATTTGCAAAATAGATATTACATATTTAAAATAAGAACTAGAAAAATTGCAATTCAAAAATCGAATAAACCAGAAATTGAAAAATCAAGAATATAAAAAATCTAAAGTGAAAAACGAAAAATTAAAAAATCGAAAAATTGAAAACCGAAAAACGCCAAATCGAAAAATTAAAAAAAAAACAAATCAAAAATTTGAAAATTGACTACTTGAGAAATTTTAAATCGAAAAATGCAAAATTCGAAAATAGAAGAATAAAAAAAAACGAAAAACTGAAAAATCGAAACATTGAATAATCGAACAATTGAAAAAATACAGAGAAAAAAACCGAAACGAAAAATTGTAAAGCCGAAAAGCATTAAACGATCCAAAATTTAAAAATTAAAACTCGAAAAATTCAAATACCGTTTAAACGAAAATGGTTTAAAATCCATTAATTGAAAAATGGAAAAAATTTAAAATGAAAACTAGAAAAATTGCAAATCCAAAATTGAAAAAACGAGAAATTGAAAAATCAAGAAACGGAAAAATATAAATTGAAAAAACGAAGAATCAAAAAAACTGAAAGTTGAAAAATCGAAAAATTGAAAAATTTCACATTGAAAAAACGAAAAATTATAAAGTCAAAACATTGGAAACCGAAAAATTAAAAACTAGACAAAAGAAAAAACCAAAAGGAAGAATTGCAAAATTAAAAATTGAAACATCCAAAAGTTGGAAAATCTAAAAATTGTAGAAACAAAAAATGAAAAACTGAAAAATTGCAAATCGAAAAAATGAAGAAACGAAAAATTAAAAATAAAATTGGCACATTGGAAAATCGAGTAAGTGAAAAAATCAAGAAAATAAAAAACCGTGACACGATAAATTGCCGTTCGAAAAATTGAAAAATTAAAAATTGAAAACTCGAAAAACTCAAATCGAAATCTAAAATTCTAAAATTTAAAAACAATTTACAAATGAAAAAATTTTCAAAATCTAAAAATTGAAACATCCAAAAGTTGGAAAATTGAAAAACTGAAAAATTGAAGAATTTGAAAAATTCAAGTCAATGTGTTATTTAATTTTTCAAAGAAGAGGGATTGCTTGGGATGGATTTCAGGGCGAGGGAAGTTCTGTGCACATAACTTTCGACCAATTTTTTTTCTAAAAAAAAAAACCAGTGTAATACAACGCAATTTACAATTAATTTCAAATATACAGGTGTCTCATTTAAAGATTGAAGAAGTTTTCGTATTGTATTTATCAATTTTACAATTTTGAATTTTTTTATTCGAAAAATTGAAAAGTCAAAAAACAAAAAAAATTGAAAAAAATTACAAAATCGAAAAAGTGAAACATCGAAAAATTGCAAATTGAAGAACTGAAGAAACGACAAATCGAGGAACTTAAAAATTGAAAAAAATTAATGAATCGAATCGAAAAATAGAAAAACCCAAAAATCGTAAAATCGAAAAATTATAGAAACGTCAAAATTGTAAACTCGGAAAACTGTAACATTGAAATATCCAAAATTGAAAAATAAAAAATCGAAAAATTAAAATATCGTACCTATATGAAAAGTTTTCAAATTCATTAATTGATACATGGAAAAATTCTAAAGTCGTAAAATTGTAAGAGTGAAAAATTTGAGAAAATTATAATTATTATTACATATTTAAAATGAACACTAGAAGAATAGCAAATCAAAAATTGAAGAAATTGAAAAATCCAGAAACTGAAAAATCTGAATTGAAAAAACGAAAAATTACAAAATGACAACACTGAAAAAATGAAGAAAATAAAAAAGCGAAATCGAAAATTTGAAACACACCAAGGTTGGAAAATCGGAAAACCGAAAAATTTGAAAATGAAAACTCAAAAAGTTGTAAAATTGGAAAACAAAAAAAAAAATTGAAAAATTGCTATTCGAAAATTTGAAGAAACGTAGGATTGAAAAAATTTAAACTGAAAAATTGAAGAGACAAAAAAAGATGAAAAATTGGAAAATTGCAAATCGAAATATTTAAGAAATGAAAAACTGAAAAAAAATTATTGAAACAAAAAATAATTGAGAAAACAAAGAAAATAAAAAACCGAAACGAAAAATTGCACAAAACATTTAAAAGTTGGAAAATTGAAAATTCGAAAAATTGCAAACCAAAAACAAAAAAAGAAAAAATAGAACAACAGAAAAATTCAAGGTAAAAAAGCTGTTAATACAGTAAGTAATTTTTCCTTTTATATTTATACATATTGTAAAATTGAAGAAATAAAAAAGTGGGAAAAAGAAAAATTGCAAATGAAAAAATTGAAATTGAACAAATTGAAAAAACAAAAAATTAGAAAATCAGAACTTTGGAAATCGACAAATTGTAAAAATAAAGAGAAAACCAAAGCAAAAAATTGAAAATTGGAACAAAAAAAACGCAATTAAAAAAATTGAAGAAACAAAAAATTTAAAAAATTAAAATTGCTAAAACAAGAAATTATAAATTGAAACATCGACTCGAATAGTTCAAAAAATAAAAAAAAACTGAAATGAAAAATTGCAAATCG